CTAATTAATCTGAGGCAGGGATGAGGGAAAATATTAATGAACTTTTCATGCTTTTGCAAATGAAGAAATTTATTAAATGTACCACCGCTTGATTGTTAGAATAAAAAAATTCTTATTTTTAGTTTCAACTCCCATACCATAGAAAAAGGAAGAAAATAAAGCGCCACATGCAAGTGCTCAAGTAGTTGATTTTAGATTATTGCATAGCACCAGTTATGTTTGGTAGACTACTCACTTGGTTGCATTCTTTATGGTATTCAATGCTGCTAAACGAGGTAGAATGTCAGAAATATTAAAGTTTTGACTTGCAATTCACTATGATGGCATTGATATTGGCCTTCTCTCGTTATGGGCCATCAGTGTGCTTAGACAACACTATCTTTTTGCATAAATTACCATCTTCCTCTGATGGCTTGTGAAGAACTTAAACTGCAATGGTTTTTATGTATTGTGGGCATCTGGAAGTGATTTTTGAATGTTCCCTTATAGTTGATTATGTAGTTGTGGTTACATATTCTCTCCTAGTGACTATCACCTCAAAACATCTTTAATACACGAATTAGGATTCAAATATTTGCTCATCTTCAACATATAGATGCAAAAATGTCAATACCATCAAATTTGCAAAAATGTCAAAGATGTAAAAATGTCAATACCATCTCATCTTCAATATAGATGCAAAAATGCCGTAAAATTACCATCTTCCTGAACATCACTTGATCTACAAGTATATAGATGCAAAAATGTCAATACCATCAAATTTACTCATGACAATCAGACGAAGCATCAACCAATCTGGGTTCTCATCCTTCAGTGCTGGATCTTTTAGACAAACATGCACATGTAAGCCTTTGTTAATTCAAAATGAGCTGGTGACCAGTAGGTAACACATACATGTTTTGAATGGTGAACTCTAGAAAAATAGTTTAGTCAGAAATGTTGAAACTTTTTTTCTTGTACTATGCTCACCCCATTTTATCTAATACGCCGTCATATATTATCTCCTGTGGTCTACCTAGTTAATAAGGTGTCGGTTTCTTTTCAAATATTATGAGCTCCAAATTATAGAGGTAGCTCGGCTGCTACTGTCTGTAGCATTGTTATATTTAAAGAGGTGCTTTGATAAACCTACTCAGAATAATTCCAATTTGCATTTGTTCTTCTTGGTTTTGATTTGCTCTCTTGTTCCTAAAGGCTTTACTTGGATTGAAGGAGAGAAGGAAATGAAATGGAATTTCAATAATACATTTGTTGATTATGAACCCAAGCCATTGATTTAAGCTTTTTCAACTCTTAGCTTTCATTTATTTTCACTCAAATTCATAGCCATCAAAACATATGCTAGTTTTGTTCATAATGAAATGGTCGTTTGTCACTAGGACAAGTAGTGCAGTTCCAATCAGCTGAGCTTACTTATTTTCTCCTAGTGACTATCACCTCAAAACATCTTCAATACACGAAGGATCATCTTAAAAGTATGATCCAAAAAGTCTACAAGATGATTCAAAAAATCTTTGATCGATGTCCTAAAATAACTCATCTAGCTAAATCAACTCAAAAGAGTATCAATTAACTATCTCATAAAGGGAAGTATCCCATAAAACAATTCATTAAATGATTATATTCTAACAAATCATTAAAAAAGCAATAACTTGATGCACTCAGGGAATTTGTTTCTAGAAAAATTTATCATTTTTAGCAATTCGAAGGTTCGATGTATCTTATAAATTGTTAATCATCAAGTTTAGAAAAAAATTATCAAGTTGAATTTCTTAACTCATCATTCAACATAGAATTCTTTTCTCATGAAATATTTGATTACACTCAAATACTTCAACAATTCATTCTACCTATGAAATTTTCCTTAAAAAAAATTGAAGTTGCTTAATGCACTTGCCAACTCATTTACTATAATATTGCCTTAAAAAAAATTGAAGTTGCTTAAGGTGATAGTCACTAGGACATCTTCAATCATATTGCTCTTGGCATACACATCAAGTAGTTCAGTTCCAACAAACACATTAGAATCTCCTGATATTTTTATAGCCAAACAATGCAACTACATGCACTCATAAACTGCCATTTTTTTTGCACAAGCGCAGAGAACGCTCGACAAAGTAAATTCACTCAGCACCAATCCTTGACAAAAAATTTTGCATCATATTACGGCATACAAATATTTGTGTTTATGTAGCTCCCAAACATATTAGGATTCACATTTGGGGCGCTTCAAATGGTGCTTTATATATCTACAAGGACACCAAAGTTCCTACAAGCTTAGCAGTGGATAGCAAGCTTCCAGAGAATATGCTCGAAATCTCGAAACTTGGACCCTGCGAACCAATTGATGTTGATGTAGCGACCAAGCCACATGCCACTAAAAATGAGATGAGCCCTGTATGAGGGAAAATTATTCTGTGCGGAATCCGAATGTGTTCGGAGGCAAAATCCGGGCATGCCACATCACCGGAGCCCAATGCATCCGGTGACGTGGTGCGTCCAGATTAATCTCCGAACACGTTCGGATTCCGCAAAGTTGAAGTTATTGAGTTACTATTCTATCCTCAAATTGAGAACACTTACTTTATTTTATCATGGTCTTGTCAATAATGTAATGTTGGAGGGATAGAAATTGTGAGATAGAGAGTGGGTTGTGAGAATTTTCTCATATATTATGCTTGCTTTCTTCTCAGTCTCTTATTCTTCTTATGTAGTTATGGATGTTAAGTAGTTTGTTGTTGTTATCCTTAACTTATTTATCAGAATTAATGAGAATAAATATATGTAAGCAAGGTTCCATTAGCAACAATTGATGCTTTCATGCATGAACCAACTAATCTTTGCCTTCTAATACCTGGAAATGTACTAAGCCTTATATAATTTGAGAGGGTGATTCCTTCACATTTTATTATGTTTCATACGTCACTACTTGCAATTAATTTTGAACATCTTTATTTCTCATGAGGCTTAATAAATTTAATGTTATTTGAGACTTGCGTGTACACTAAGGTTTCATTTGGTACAGCTTTCTTCTTACTTTCTAAGATAGTTTTCTAACACAAAAAATTCTAATTGAAAAAATCTTTGCATAGAAAAGTTGTTTTAATAAGCAGTAAGAAAGCCGTACCAAAGGAAGCCTAAACAACAATAGAAATTTTAAAAATTAAACGAAGTGGTAGCTGGGATTTAAATTAATGTTGAACAAAGAAAATAAATTTTAGTGGCTAATTACAAAAAAAAATCTCATAGAATTTGATCAGTTATTATTATTTTCTAAAATAGCTTTCTAATACAATTACTTTTTAAAAAACTATAAAAAAATAGCGGTCAAAAGCTATCTCAAACAAAATCATAGTATTGCAACTTGAACATTATAAAAATATAAAGATGGTCTAATATCAAGAAAGGCAGGACCTATATATCCTAATTTATGGTTTAATAAGAGAGGTTTACCCTGGAAAAGATTCAGATAGTTCAGAATTTTGTAAGTTTAAATTATTGACTGTCCTTAATTTTTTTAATTATCATGAATTTGTCCAAGTGATGTTCAGGAGCTCTTATTTCTTGCCTAATATTATCAAACTATTTTGTCTTCCTATCTTGGTGCCATAAGAGCTGTCCTTCTCTTCATAGGATAGTTTGTATAATTGATGATTCAAAGTTGTTTCTGACCTAAACCTTGTTCATATTAATAGATAAATTGCAAATTATCAAACTTAAGCGTGTTCATGAAGGAAAGAAAGGCTGAGCCAATGAATAAATATTTATATCAACATGTAAGCGTCCAAATAAAGTATAGGACTCACTAATTGAGTATATATACATGAAAGTAGATTTACATGAGTAGTCTCTCTTTCCTTATATCAAAAAATGTTCTTATTAAACTTGCTATATAGGAAAACTATGAAGTGAAGGAAAAATTTAGATTAGATATTAATTCTAAACTGGTGCCACATTTAATTCTATGCGTTGTCCTGTTCATAAAATTAAATCATATTTTCATATTTTTTTTAATCAATATTGTTTCTCTCTTCTAGCTATTTTAGCTCCTAACTATTTTAGATGGAAAGCAGGTACATAAATAACTTGCACTGTACAGAAATCACAAATAACTATTTCAGATGTACCATAAAAGATTCAAACATTTAGAGATTATTACTCATATTTTAATATTATAGCCTTTTGGTTCGTAAGTGAACTTTTTGCTATATTTCTGCATGTAACAAAATAATGGGGATATTTCGCTAGTTACGGTTATTACGAGTCATTTAATGTCAATCTTTTGAAATAATTCACATTCATCAACCATATGCAAGCTTAAGTACAAGATTGAGGATACAACATTAACTATAATCTTCACTGCTATTGACATTTTGAGTAGTTTATCTTTTGTCATTTGAAATATCAAATCAATGGACTCTGGATTTAGATAAAGAGAAGAATTGATAAGTTTTTTTACTTTTCAAAGATTGGGTCTTCAAAGAAGGCATGCTCTTAATGATCACGATGTTGGTTATTTCATGACTACATCATGTGTTTTTTTCCGTACATATAAAATTTCAGGAGAAGCTATCTCCTATTATATACGTGTGATGCCTGGATTGTTATCCTAGTGATTTTTATAAGTTTATTAACATTTTTATAAGTTATGTTCTAGTTGTTCACATTGTTAAAGGGGTAATTATTTCATAACCTGAAATGCTTTTTGTCAGCTACTTATTTGAATTGATATAAAATTTTACAGCAATAACTTTTTGTAAGATTAGTCATGTAATAATTTTTTTTTCTTCATAATTTTGTCAGGCAAAAGCAATGGATAAAAGTTGGATTAATCTCAATGATAGACGTTTGCGACAATATAAGGATGGAGTCACTGCATTTATTAAATTTTCCCATGAAAATAATCCTCAAAAGGGGAAGATTTGGTGCCCATGTCGATACTGTGCAAATATCTTTTTTCAGACTTATAGTGCGTAGAGAATCATTTACTAATTAATGGAATGCAAACATCATACATTGAGTGGACATGTCATGGGGAAACATCTCAAGCTTTCAATGATGCAGATGTAGGCAGAAGAGATATGAATGATCTTAATAATACAAATGAAGAGGTTGATGAGATTCAAGAAATCTTAGAAGATATACACAGGGGAACTTTCATGAACTCTACTCCCAACAATTCACCAGATGAGGAATGTGATAATATTATCGACAAAGATGAAACAACTATATTTGATAGATTACTGAAGGATGCACAACGTGATTTATACCCTGGTTCAGATTTATCAATGTTGTCTGCTCTTGTAAAGTTACTACACATTAAAGTTCTTAATCGTTGGACAAATAAATCATTCAACATGATCCTTGAATTCATAAAATCTATCTTGCCAAAGGGTGAAACACTTCCGTCTTCATATTATGAATCAAGGAAGATTTTATCAGACCTCAGATTAGGCTGTGAAAAGATTCATGCTTGTAAAAATGATTGTTCTTTATTTTGGAAAGATTATGAGGATAAAGAAGAATGTCCTCAGTGCATGGAATCAAGATGGAAAGTTAATGATGGAAAAGGAAAGAAAATTCCTCATAAAATTCTACGCTATTTTCCCATTACATCTCGATTACAATGGCTATTTATGTCAAGAAAAACTGCTCATGAGATGAGGTGGCATAAGGAAAATCAAATTGTAGATGAAAATTTATTAAGGCATCCAGTTGATTCTAAAGTTTGGAAGGATTTTGACATTAGCTTTCCTTGGTTTGCAGAAGATTCTCGTAATGTACGCCTTGCATTAGCTTCAGATGGATTCAATCCTTTTGGTAATATGAGCACTTCTTACAGCATGTGGCCCGTCATTCTTATACCATATAATTTACCTCCTTGGAACTGCATGTCTTCTGAGTTCATGTTTATGACACTATTAATTCCTTGTCCAGTTGCTCCTGGGAAAGAAATAGATGTATATTTAAAGCCTCTTATAGAAGAATTAAACAACTTATGGGTGAATGGTATCATAACTTATGATTCTGTAAGTAAGAATACATTTCAAATGCATGCTGCTCTTTTATGGACTATAAATGATTTTCCAGCTTATGGTATATTGTCGGGTCATAAAGTACATGGTTACAAAGCTTTCCCAATATGTGACAGTGAAACTTCTTCACAATATTTGCGAAACAAAATGTGTTACATGGGTCACAGACGTTTCTTGCCTAAAGAGCACAAATGGAGAAAAAGTAGAAAGTTTAATGGCAAGCATGAAGCTAGAGTGAGACCTCAAGTTTTATCAAGAGATGAAATATTATCAGAAATGGAATCATTAAAGGATTTGAAGTTTGGAAAGCATCCTAGCTGTAAAAAAAGAAAACATAACCTTCATGAATCAACTTGGATAAAAAAAAGTGTATTTTTTGAGTTGCCATATTGGAGAAGTCTCACATTACGTCATAATCTTGATGTAATTCACATTGAAAAGAATATTTGTGACAACATTCTGGGGACCTTATTAAATATAGAAGGAAAGACAAAAGTTACAGAGAAAGCTCATTTGGATCTACAAGATATGGGCATAAGGCATGAGCTACATTTGCAAAACTAAGGTGAGAAGTATCTTAAACCTCCAGCCTCTTACACGCTTTCTTCAAAAGAGATAGAAGGGTTTCTCAACTTTGTTAGATCAGTAAAGTTTCCAGATGGTTACGCAGCAAATATATCAAGATCAGTACATATTCGAAATGGTAAGCTTATGGGATTAAAAAGCCATGATTGTCATGTGTTGTTAAAACGAATCCTTCCTTTAGGATTGTGTGGATTTTTAAATAAGGATGTGCATAATGCTTTAAGTGATTTGTGTTGACCTCATTTTTATATGAGGTCACTAAGGCCCTTCCAAACTCCAGATTAATTCTAGATCCTAGGATCCACTCTAGGCCTTAAGATCCTTTCCTAGAGCCAGACCTTAGGGCCTACTCTAGAGCCTAGGGTTCCCTTAGATCCTAGATCCTAAAACCCCTCTAGATTTGGAACCAATCTAGACTCAAATCAATTCCCACCCTTGATCAACTTTGACCTCAAGTCAATTCCTACCTTTGATCAACTCCAACTTCAATTTAATTCCTACCTTTGATCAATCTAAATCTCAAACTTCATTCAACTCAAACCCCAATTAATTCAAACATATTCAAACTTTGATCCAATCCACTTGAGAATCCAAATTTAAACCTAGACTTTGATCCTACCTTTGATCTAGCTTTGACCATATCCATTCATTAAAAATCATCACATGATTGTGAATGATTTGGATACTCTAATATTGATCATCCAAACTCAAAATCTAATCCAAAATCCAGAAATCCAAACTCAAATTCAAAGTCTTAAGGCCCTGTCCTAAAGTCCTTTTTCAAAGACTTTTCAAACATTTCAAAACTCATTCAAATGGCCTCTGATTCAGGGTCTATCACTTAAAAAGTGATAAAACCTGTCTCTAGAGGTTGCCTTCCAATTTTGAGCCCATTCTGAGGTCTCTAACCCCAGAATCTGAATTAAAATCCAAAGGCTGTAAAACCTTCAAATATTTACAGCCCATGCCACTGAACCTAACCCCTTGAAGATTTTGATCTTGGAGCCCTTATCAAAGCCTCCAATCACTTCCAGACTCTTGATCTTAACCCACTGAGCACTAAACTGCAATTTTCAGATCCATTTTTGACCCTGGATGACTAATGGGTCAAAATTGACCAAAATACCCTTATGGGATTTCAAATGATCATTTCAACCCAAATCAATTTCAAACTCTTTGAAACCACTTTCAATGAATTTCAAATGTTAAACTCAACTTGTTGAAATCAAACCCAAACCTTGGGTCAACCTGGTTGACCAAGTCAACCAAGTTTGAGCCATGGACCCATACACCCCTCCTCTTTCAAACTTTTGAATCAAGTCCATTCCAAGTCCTTTGAATGCATGGGATGACCTCTTAGGTACCCAAGAGACCCCTCTTGGTGACCCAAGCCTTGGGGTCACTTGGGTTAGCCATATGGCTTGACCTAAGTGACCAAAGAGAGGCCTCCCTTGAGCCATCTTTTGATCTTAATCAAATTGAATCCAAATCAAGGTGTTATTGAGTTCTCTTTCACCTAATACACCTTCCTTGATCAGCCCAACCCTTGGGATCACTTGGGTCAAGAGTTAGGATAACCTAAAGTGCCCAAAAGCACTTGGGATTGAGCCAACTCTCAACCTAAGCCTAATTGAACCTGACCAACACCTCCCATAGGTGGCCCTAGGTCCAATACACCCCCTCCAGCCAGCCCATGCCTTGGGCTAGCTTGGGTCAAGAGTTAGGCTAACCCAAAGTAGCCAAAAACACTTGGACCTGAGCCATCTTCCAGCTCAGATCAAATTGGACCAATTGACACTTGCATTGGGTGCATCAAACCCAGACCCACTTCCCACCTCAAGCCTAGGGTTTGGCCTGACCTGGGATGAGCACAAATCGACTTGAACCGAGTAGGTTTGGGTTCAACCCAACCACCAGTTCGATCCAGGCCTCCCCAGGCCAAATTAACTTTTCCCTTGGCTCCAGCATGTCCCCATCGGTCTCCCCCGGTCAACCCGACCCAGACCATGGCCGACGGCGGTCGGAGCCAATGAAATTTGAGTTCCGGTGGTCCCTTCCAGACAATTCCTGGCTCAAGGCTGCTGCCCACCAGTTTGATCTCCACGATCCCCCCTGGACGTCGCCATCGTCCACCTGGCAGCGATCCGAGCCTTCCCCAGTTCAATCCTGACCGTCCAAGCTCCCGAAGGGTGGCCGAATACCCCTGAGCTCGCCAGACCTCACGAGGCATTGGCATTCGCTTTGATTTGATTCCCAGAGCTCCTTAGAACTCCAAGAAGCTTCCTTCGAGCGCAGAGATCGATCCCTCCTTCCGTTCGAGCAAACACCCGTGAAATCTCTCGGCGTCCCGCTCGAAGTCGCACCTCCGGCCGTCCTCCGATCCTGACGCCTGAAGGAGAACTGTTCGCCACCATCCCCTAAAGCTTCCTGATAGAGAAGCTCATTCTTTGAGGCCTTCTCTGCAGTAATCTCTCCATCCCGAGCTCCCTAGCTAGGTAGTTTGGTCAACTGTGAACGAAACCTTCACCCCAACGGATTTCCATCGTTTGATTGAAGGTTCCCACCATCCTGATCCTCCCTGCAAAATTTCATCGGAGTTCGCCGGCGGGATTGGCCGGATCAAGCCGGAGTAGCCCTGCGGTCTCGGATACGAGCGGGAGGTTGAAGACAAAATCCCAGCCGGTTATCTTGATCAATGGCTCGGATTAAATTCCGTGGTATCGGAGCCCTATTAATCTCAGCCGTTTGCTCCACCATCCAACGGCTGTCGTTAACCCGGCTGTTAACCGTTAGCGCCAATCATTGCCTGGCGAATCGACGCGCGACGCGTGGTAATGGTTGCTGACTGTGTAATTGCCGGATTAAT